ACCGGCACTCCCGTTGTGAAGGACTGTCCCGGCGGTCTGGAGTGGAACGATATCAAGAAGGAATGCGATTGGCCCGTCAACTCTACCTGTCCCACCACACGACCCACTCGCCCAACTCGACCGACTCGCCCTACCCGACCGTCCAGACCGACCCGACCCCGTCCCACACCACCCGCACCCACAACAACACCAGCACCGGCCGGGTTCAAGTGCCCGCGCGAGGACATCGTAAACACCCTGTGCAGAGGTCCCAAAGATTGCCTGTACCAGAACAACGATAATTGTAACACGTTCATCCAGTGTACGGTTGACCCTGGTAACCAGTCAGGCACTCCAGTAGTGATGCCCTGTCCGGCTGGACTCAAGTGGAATGATAATGGTAAAATATGCGACTGGCCCGCCAACGCCACGTGCCGTCATAATTTTAATTATGTCTATCATTATAGACACTAAAATATATGATGGTTGAAATGCTTCCCGGATTATTGTAGCTTTAGTTTAAAAATAATTGCATTTTTAATTTATAAGTTGTTTTTTATAAAATAATTTGTTGTGATTATATTTTTTCACACTTATGTTTACCCCGATATAAAATATTGTTTTTGTGTTGTTGTAAAGTGTTGTCAAACAAAACCATAGTTTTTAGATAAAATAATAAAAGTTTTTATGCATTTATATATTTAATTGTGATGAATTAATTTTATTATGTACGTCTTAACACTACTTGAACTTGGCATACGTCAACTAATAGAATCTATAATAATAATAAGTCAATAATATAGACTAATAGTTATAGTTAGAGACTCTATTTTTCGGGAACAGAAACTTATGAATTAAGCATGTAAATGAAGTTATCGCGTATTTTTGTCGCTTATAAATGAATTATAAATTGTATTAAATGTAATTTCATAACATTATTCAGTAAATAAGCAATAAATTAAAGTTACAATTTTAATTTTCTATAAATTTAACTAATTTACATTTATTTAAATATATGTGATAATGAAATCACAGCATATTTTTAATATTACCATCATAAATCCGGGAACTCATATCATAATTAAAACAATTTTATTTTTAAAGACCAAGATTTATTAGATTTTATACCTATTTTATATTTATATTTTGTACGAAATTCGTTATTATTTTTAGCAAAACCCGTGTTTTCGGACAAATCCTGCATAAAATGGACTTTTCGGGAGTTTTTGCAAAATATGTCAAAATAGGAAAAATTCTGGAAAATAAAAATATTTTGGAGCCTTTATAACCCTCGAGACTAATGAGATGTTATTGCCGATAGTTTTAGTAACTAAATTTAATCGGGAATTCCCGAAAAAAAGAGACTCTAATTATAGTGCGTTTACATGTAGGTGAATAAATTGGTGTTTAATAACCTATATCATATTAATCAATTGGCAACACAATTATTTTCATTGATTACTGTACTAATAATAGGACAATGTTTAGTTCAATAAAAGTGATTACAAAACATATGATTACTGAATAAATAAATTGTCAAAATCATCAGTTTTTTGTGTTAGTAATAAATAATACTGTTATTGCAATTGGTAATGAAATCTATCACGTTTTCATTTAATCCTGGTCTAATGCTCCATAAATTATATAATTTAGTACACTATACTGTAGGGTACTGTACATTATGCATAGGTATAGAATATGGACTTTAGTGCACTGTCAGGTCATTAAATTTATTATGGTTAAATCCTCACTGAGACGATTAAAATAGTTAAATCACCACGATGCGACAAATTATGAATATACTAAATACATGTATATTGCAGATATTTACCTGAAATACGTGACAAATAAACAAATTTATAATGAGAG